ATAAAAGCACCTGGGTTCTGATCATCATAATACAGTAGTTAGTTTTTACTTATTTTCTATTTTTTATTTCATTTTTAGTAAATATTAAATCTTTTTTTGTAATAATGCAGCATATAAAAACATAAAATAAGTTGATAGTTAACTCACTAGAAACATTGAAATAAATCAAAAGCTAGATATGAATGGTTAATTCTAAAGTATATTAATAAAACAGGTTTAAATAACTAGAATCTTCAAGTTCTAAGAATGTATGATTTAGAGTAAACATCAAAGATTATTGAGGCTATGTCATAAGCCTCCATGTTTGGGGAAAGAACACAGTAAAGGGAAATCATTTTCAACCCTGGTGGTATTTCATTCCAGGAGATAATGGATCAGTTAATAACTACAGCCACAGCTCACTGTTTTTGTCTCCCCACAAGGTGAAAAATGGGGGAGTATAGAAAGTGACTGCTAATATGTATGTTTTTTTTTTAGGGTGATGAAAATATTCTAAAACTGTGGTGGTTTTATAAGTTTTTAAATGTACCATAAACTACTGTATTGGGCACTATTTAAATGGGTGAGTTTTATGGCACATGAATTCACTCAGTAAATTTGTCTTTTTTTTTTTTTTTAAGGCCCAAGAGGCAACACGGAAAACAAAAAACTGGAAAGAAAAAGAAAAAAGTAGTTGAATACCACCACAGCCCAGGGAAAGTAAGAAGGAGGGTGGTAGGGGGAGACAGAGAAGGAAGGAGGAGAGGGAGATGCATCATTGGCTACTTCTCCTCTCCTCCACCCCAGTACACATGTGCACACACCCCCACATGCCCACATGCCACATACAGTGTTAACCAGTGACAAGCCACTGGCTGCTTTTTTCATGTCATGGGTAAAACCATAACTGCTTTGTTTCTTGAGAACTTCATAGTTCCCCCTTGTCTTGTAAATGTTGACCTTGCTTGCTAAATATTTGATCTTTGTTAATTAGGTTTTTTCCTTCTTCTGTTCTTGCTTTTTGATTTTTAAAAGCAAATTTTTAATGACTAGCATACAGTCACATCTCTTTATCTTTTGTAAATGTAAAGTCATGCTGCATGGTATCTGTAAAGTCATATTCATTTTATTCTGAAAAATATCTGCTTCTTGGTCCTTCTCAATGAATGTATTCTAGTTACCTTGTCAAGTCCAGTAAATATTTCACTTTCGTTACTCTATATGCATTTAAATGTTGAACTCCTACAGTCCACGCCCTTTAGGTCTTCTCTTGGCTTTCAGTTTTTTTGGGCTTTTTATTGACTCATAAACAGTAGCAACTTAATTTCAGCAAAAAGATGGTAGACCCTACACTTTCATATCAAAGTACAGGGATTCTGAAGAATGAGTTTCCTTCTCTGTAGCTGAAATTTATTAACTGGCAATAATTCACTGTTTCAAAGTCTTAGTCATTTGCCCAACTTTTGTGTAGGTCTTATTGCTTCGTATATTATATTCTGAGACGTGTATCAGAGTCAGGGGTTATCAATTACACAGTCTGAATTGACAGCAAGACTTCTCTTGGAAAAGAAAAGCAGTCTCCTTAAGAGAGAGGAAGAGGGAAAGCTACTTCCTTCTTCCTGGCTGTGCCCTGGCTTTTCTCTTTATTGTAGACCCCAAAATGAAACTCTGGGTCTCACCTTGTGGCTTATCAGCACCAGCTGCACCTGTAGATTCAGTAGTATTCTTCCTCACAGTCACCTCTTCATTGGAAGGTGTCTGGTTACAGCTCTCTCTCACCGAAAATCCAGTTTTGTGATGAGCAACACGAGTCACTGATCTTTTCCCATGAGATGTATAGTCAAAAGGAAATACATGTGAAGGGGGCTTTCCCTTTCTCTGTGTAAAATGAGGAAATAAGCTAGTATCACCAAGCATATATTCCTCTATAGTTGCAGGTACTAATGGAGTAGGTGAGTTTTCTCCTGCAGAAACACTGGAAGGGCTCCAAGAGAAGTAACTCTGAGCTCTACGTTTTTGTGTGGAGTTCTTCTGTGTGAAGATCGGTTTCTTTTGTGTACTGCCAAGCCTGTCTTCAGGACGGCTGAAGTCACCTTGAAATCCATGCCCCCTTTGAGCGCCAGGTGTAGATGTTAAAGGAAGACTTGCAGGTGACTTCTGGTTGGCACTCCTTCCTGTGGCAGGCTTGCTGCTGTTAGAGGAACTCTCCAGAGGGGTCTCTGGCACCGCAGAGAGGTCCTTACTATAAAATGGAATTGGAAACTTGGAACTCTGTTGCTGTTCCTTTTTGCCTACAGATTCATCTGTTCAGTATTTGATTGCTTTACTAGTCTGACGGGCAGATGCATCTGAGATCCAGGTGGAGGGTCCCTGACTGAAAAATCTAGCCCCCTCTTTTGAGTGCAAGGAATGAAGTCGTCATCACTATCAGAACTAGAAGGATGAAGCTGTTGCTCCTTCAGTTTTAGTCTTGCAGAAAGCTGTTTATTTTCTTCTTTTAATTTATTCCTTTCTTCTGTGAGCTCAGCAATAAGCTTCATATTTTGTTGTTGGATATGGTCAAATTCTTTCTGTAGCATCTTCCTGTACATTTCGTTCACTGAACAGCGGTCACATACTTTGGAGCTTAACTTATGTTGCAGGTCATCGATGGTGACATTCAGGATATTCTGTTGCTCCATCAACTCTTTAATTTTGGCTCTGGAGCCCATCCACCTTCTGTCTGCCAATCGCTCTTTCCTCAGACTGGTTAGTTTCCCCTGGAGACGGCGTAGCTCCCTGTCATGGAGCTCTTTTACTGTTAGCCAGGGTTTTTTAAAAGAGTCAGAAGACAAATCACAGACGCTAACCTGCATTTTATCTCTTGCGGGAGATCTCTGGCCACTTTCCTTGTCTCCTCCATCCACGTTGCCTGCCTGCATCTCGTCTCCCTGACTGGGAGTGGAGACAAACCGCTGCCGGCAAAATGGCGGAAGGGCTGCTGACTAGAGCTGGGCCGCGAACGGCACGAGAGTTTCACCCCTTCTACAGACCTGCGAAGAGGCTTCAGAGCACAAGGCGGGTGTGAGGATGGCTCGGGGGTAGACAGAAGGGCCCGGTTCGGCGGCGGAAAGGAGACCGGAGCCTCCTTTTGGCGGGAAGAGCCAGTGTGCAGAAGTAAGATGGTGCCTGCAAGCCGGCCTGTGACGAGAGGCTGGAGAGACCGTAAACGCAGTGACTTCTGGGAGAGCTATGCTGCGCTGAGCCAGAAGGGCGCCCGAAGGCGGAGGGGGGATCGTGGGGGTGGACCGGAAGTCAGTGCTCACTTTATTTTTGAAACAAATCTAATTTGACCTTATGTTAGCATCTTATTCCTGATGATCAGTATTTTATAAACATTGAAAACTATCAATACTCATGGTCTTGAGTAAATTGGGGAAATAAAATCAAAACCCACACACTCTTCCCTCCCTGTCACCCCTCCGTTTAGCCAACATTACCTAGTCGTCCATCCCTATCTTCAGAGGCTCTCGCGGGGCAGGCCATTACGTCATTGCCTACTTTTGCTATCCCTACCAGGTTTTTAAATTTAGAAGTGGACCTGCTGACACCATTAGCTATATCTGAACAGGATAAAAAAGGAATAGAAGGTTAAGTGAGGGCAATATTTTTCTTTTTAAAAAAGTCTCCGTGAGTGTGTTGGAAGTAAAAAAAAAGGAGGGGAATAGCTCAAAAGAGAAGTGTATGTGATAGGTTTAAGGGACTTTTATATCTGAAATAGTTGTTCCATTAATGTGTGTGTATGTTTGTATATTGCCAGGACTTCAAGGTTGATAATCCGAAGGCAAAGAGGAAAAAGAAAGTTATCAGTCTCTTCCTCTAAAGTTTAAAGTTCTCAGACTGTTTGGTTCACAGAGCCCTTTGAGTAGCAGGCGAAGGTGCTTGACCCTACCTTCTGAAAAATGTACTTAAATGCACCATCTTGCATAAAATTTTAGGAAGCTTATTAAAAACCCCAGGTCTACTTCCCTTCCTCTGTCTTCAGGGATGATAAGCAATCCCAAAGAACATTTATAAAATACATAAAAATAATGGTTGAAGTTGAAATAATTACAGATTAAAAGGTATATTTGGAATTAATTCAAAAGAATATAGTGTGGGTATTGGGCAGTGAGATGAGATAGAAGGAGAGGATATAGATGAGACAGAATTGGCTGTGAGTTAATGGTTGCTGAAAGTTATTGGTACTTTGGAGTTCACTGCGCTATTTGCTGTAAGATCTATGCTATCTCAAAATGTAACACTTTATTCATTCCATTTTCAGATACACTCTTAACTTACTGGAATAAAGTATCTCCCCAGGAGCTCATAAACATTCTTATACTTCTAGAGTAAGTTATATTAACTTATTTTCATAAAATTTCCTCTTATTTTTGGGAGCTTAATTTTTATACATAATAAAATATTACCCATTTTCTGTTTTCAACAGCATATTTTTTAATAATGTAGAAAATGTTAAACTATTTTGATAGTTTAGAGGCTGATGTACAGGTTCTTCACACATAGATAGAAGAAAAACATGGAGATGAAATACTTGTGATATTATAGAAAACTCTAGTTAATAATAGTGCATCCTTGCAGACCATCAGGAGTCTTTCTGTGATCTGGAAAACTGGAAGTGGCATCAGCTGTCCTAAATCATTCATTTAGAGCAGATGCTGTCTTAATGGAGCAGCTTAAATGTTGGAATTTAGAATTTGTACTCTTAAGTAGAGCTGAGTAATTCTACTCACTTCAGAAATGCATATATATATATTTCCACTGCAAGGTCCTTAGGGGGAAAAAATCTAGCCTTTTTCCTAGGTGGAGGTTGGAAATTGTCCTATATTGTATGCTGAGCTATTTTTACGTCATTATTGAAAGCTAAAAGAAAAATTAGAATGAAATGTAAGAAATTTCTAAATAAATAGTACACATATATGATATCGTGTGTGTCTACCAAAACACAGAGGGTAATCTATGCATAAAAACTTAGTAAAGTCTTTCAAAATTTTGCAGAAAATGTCAGCAAATAAAAGTTATGACTAAAAAAAATACTCTAATTATATTGAAATGTTTACTAATGAAAATACATGATGTTGGGGATTTACTTTAAAAAAATAAAGGCGGTAGGGAGTGTGGAGGGAGAGCATGGGACCTGTTTGGGGTATAAGTTAAGAATGGCCATGAGTTGATAATTGTTGAAGCTGGTGTGTGCTGTGTATGTGGGATTTAGTTTGCTGTCCTCTTTTGTATGTGTTTGAGATTTTCCATACTAGAAAGTATTTTAATGCCATTATAAAAAATATAGCAATTGCCCCAATTTTTAGGGCTTAAGAACCTTTTTGGGTGTTACTGACTATGCTAGAGACCTTTGCTGTGATACACACTATAAAGCACAAAGGATGATTTGCATTGACGGTTTTTTAAAAGATATGTCATGAGAATTGTATATGAAGACATGGAGCTTTTTGGTGTTGATGTAATTGTAGCAAATAAATGTAGAAAAATATAATATGGCAAGTAGTTATTTGTATATTTATTTTTGTATACCAAAACATATTATTGTAATATGATTTTAAATGGGTTGTTCTTTGTGACACATGAATTTTCAAATATTACTTGTTAAAATGCAAAGTATGGTAATATCTTACTAACATGCTATTGTTTTTCTTTCTAGAGTATGTTTGTTTCACTTTAGATATATTGGGAAAAGAAACATAGCAAGGTAATTCCCATAGCACTGCAATTTCCACTTTTTTTCTTCTCTTCCAACAGAGGGCAGTCTTAATTATGCCATGTATAACCTAGATGATTCATTTTGAGTTGACATTAAGATACCCATGATTTATTTAATGCGTCTCAACTCAAAGTTGACATTAATCTAATGTGAACATTTTAAAAGTTTTCCAGAGGTTGTTAGACTGATATGCAGAGTTTCTTTTCTAATCCTAGAACAGATGTTTGTCTCTTCTGAAGGATGTGAGAAAGGGCTAGATCAAGGGGAAGGCAGGAAATTGTAAAGTGAGCACAACTGTAAGATCTGTACTTTTATCTACAACCTGTCAATACTCACCTCAGTTACGAATGTGAATAGAAATCCCCAGCAGCAATTGGGACATGCACTATATATTATTTATTTATTCTTTTTGCTGTGTAAGTCTTAGTGAAATAAATACTTAAGAAAATGTTTGAGGAACTGTAAGGAAAAGATTACTTATTTCAATAAGATATATTTCAGGGGTAGAGTTAGTCATTAAAGGAACTCAAATAGAATTCTGTTTTTAAGTAAATTCCATGGCACTTCCAAAAACTAAAGAGGCTGTTTGGATAGGGTTTATTGCTGACTCTCTGGAACATCCTAATAATTCAAGGGATGATTTCCACTGTCTTCCCAGCACTGGGAACTAGTTTAGAACTAGTATGGTAACTACCACCATGAACCTCAACCTCTAATATTCTGCTGATCCACGCTCTATGTTTATTAGAGGATAGAGAAACTCTTTTTCTTCCTTAGTTCCTGTATTACCCGGTTGTAATTTTTTTTTTTTTTTTCTGCAGTACGCGGGCCTCTTGCTGTTGTGGCCTCTCCCGTTGCGGAGCACAGGCTCCGGACGCGCAGGCTCAGCGGCCATGGCTCACGGGCCCAGCCGCTCCGCGGCATGTGGGATCTTCCCGGACCGGGGCACGAACCCGTGTCCCCTGCATCGGCAGGCGGACTCTCAACCACTGTGCCACCTGGGAAGCCCCGGTTGTAATTTTTTTTAATGGAACCTTAAAATTAAAGGAAAACAAAGAAAAATGTGCAAATAGACATGTTTATAGAGTAAAAATTTCTGCTTCAAGTTTAACTTGGGTCCAGAAACAGATTATATGGGCACTCATTCTTAAACATCTAACTCCAGGAATTCTTCCACCTTATGTCAACTCCTAGTATCCCTCTCACTGTTTTCTCTGACTCTTGCCTTCCCTTACCTCCTGAGAAAAGACTGGATCTTATTGGAGTGTTGTCCACTTTACTCTGATATTTTTGAGAAGAAGAAGGGAAGTAAGAAACTCTCTCTAAATTCCTTACTTATATTCATATAGTATAAGCTATTTTAAATATACATTAAGCTTCATACAATTTCCAGTGATGCCTCATTTAAGCCAGCTAAATACGACCGAAAATCGCAAATCATGCCAGCTCTTTAAAACAGATCAGGAATAATGCAGGCCCGGCTTCAGCATCTTAGTAGCCTGGAAAGTTCATTTACACTTAATCACAGTAAGTGAAAAATGTGTGTAGGGTACCCATTTGAAACAGATATTAATACTATTTAATCTTAAAGAAGTACTGGCTTAAATCTCCAATACAATTGGTAATCATTTCCCATACATAGATACAATTGCATATCTCTGTTTATGAACAGTCATTTCATCATATGTGAATATATGATAAAATATACATGGATTTTTCAGCAATTTTAGGTAATTATGGGTTTTTATCTTAGTTCAATATCAAGGAAGTTAATTTTCCCTTTGAATTATTGTTCTTATATTATTTTACATTCGATATCCTTTATTCCTACTTGAATGCAAATAATGGCATCTTAATATAATAGTATGTATAATATTTGTTTAGAGTTACTATTGTTCATTCAGTGATCTTAAGGGATTTTCCATGCTGAGCTGACCGCAGAAATCAAAGAACTGTAAATAGTATTTTGACAAAGATGTATTTCACACAGGTTGAAGTACTGACAAGTTGAATAGGACAAGGAGGAAGCTACAGGGTTATATAAATGGAAGCTATCCTCTGAAAAACAAATATTAGTAAAAAAGTCAAAGAGTGAGATAAACGTTCATTTCCACACAGTCCTTTGGGGATTGCGTAAAAGGAAGCCAGCAGAACTGGCTTTGCGATAGGGCTAATAATAAAAACAAATGTCTTGAGCAGATGGACCTGAGCTAATAGAGTCAAGACCTTTAAAAAAATTCAAGTCTTACAGCCTTCAGCTTTGTTCTTTGTCACTTGTAAAAATATCAGTATAATGAACCTATGTATTTCAGTTGGCCCAGATGCTTTGTTTTCCTTCTGATTTAGAAACGTCTCATACCATTGGCATCATTGAAAACATCTGGCCATAGGGCGCCACTCTATGTAATGTAGCTGCATTTCTATGAGTTTCTCATTTTTGCACACATAATTAACAGCACAGCCTAAAATGCCTCCTGTGTTATTTCCTGGTTACATCACCATAGTTCATCACTGAAATCTTGTCTCCAAAGAAGTGGGCACCTAATTATTTGTTGCAGAGCTGTTGATACAGAGCTGAAGTAAAAATTAGTGGAATTGATTAACCCAGACCATATTTGATTAAGGAGTATATACAGTGAAACTCATTAAGTCTGCAGGTATTGAAAGCCTGCTTTCTTTGTGTTTGTCTCTCTCTCTGAGTCTTTGGAGGAGAAAATCATTCAAAACTGTTATGTGAATCTCTGTGTTGGGCAGTTTTAATTTTCTTTTTATTTAAATCCCAGGTTCTGCAACAACTGAAGCAGACATTTTCCATCAGGCACTTCATTTTTCTTTTTTTTTTTGCGGTACGCGGACCTCTCACTGCTGTGGTCTCTCCCATTGCGGAGCACAGGCTCCGGACGCGCAGACTCAGCGGCCATGGCTCACGGGCCCAGCCGCTCCGTGGCATGCGGGATCCTCCTGGACCGGGGCATGAATCTGCGTCCCCTGCATCAGCAGGCGGACTCTCAACCACTGCGCCACCAGGGAAGCCCCATCAGGCACTTCTTGAAGGCAATACTGCTACTGAAGTTTCCCTAACAGTACTAGATACCATATCATTTTTCACCCAGGGCTTCAAGGTAAACATGAAGAGTTAGAACTCAGTCGGTATCACTGCAAAGAAAATATTATGCAAAAACTAATAAGTCAGGCAAAGCTTAGTATAGTATAAAAGCCCCCAGTGAGCAGTCAGGAAACTTGGATGGCAGACCTAGTTTGGCTCCTGTGTGACCTTGGGAAATCACTGAGATTCGTGTGCCACATCCATAAAATGAGAGGATTGGGCTAATTTGCCCTGAATTTCCCTTCTCTTTTATTTTCCTGTTTAAAAACAGTTTTCTTTCACACTCTTATGAAAATATCCAGTAATTTTTAGCCCAAATTATGATTGAGTCAGTTTATCCAAGCACCCGTTGTGATGAGGTATCTTGTCAAGCCAGATGATGTCCAGGCAGGCCGGCTGGCTGGCTTCCCTCGTCAGGTGCCTGGTGGTTTTTCTCAGATGCTTGCCTCTCGATACAAATCATCATTGCTAGGATTAAAAAATAATAATAAGGGCTTCCCTGGTGGCGCAGTGCTTGAGAGTCCGCCTGCCGATGCAGGAGACGCGGGTTCGTGCCCCGTTTCGGGAAGATCCCACATGCCGCGGAGCGGCTGGGCCCGTGAGCCATGGCCACTGAGCCTGCGCGTCCGGAGCCTGTGCTCCGCAAATGGGAGAGGCCACAACAGTGAGAGGCCCGCATAACGCAAGAAAAAAAAAAAAAAGAAAAAAAAGAAAAAAAAAAAATAATAAGAAGAAATTAAAAGCAATTATCTGGCAGGGTTGTTGAAAGTGGAAAATGAGATAATGGATGTGAGAGTGCTTTGAAAAGTAAAGACTGTATAACTATAATGAAGGGTAACAGTAGTGGGAGAACTCAAAAGTGAAAACTCTTTCTGGCTTTTCATCTGAGTTATACAGAATTTTTTTCTTTTCTTCCCCGCTTCTCTAAGTAATTCAGTTAATTGCTTCAGCCCTCTGGATTTACTATGGAAACCTGGCCTGTGCTTTTCAAAGAGGCTTATCAGGGAAAACTGAATTAGATACTAATAAGAAATAGGCTGCAAAATCCCTTTATGAAGTATTAAGTTCTGACTAAAATGCAACCCAAATTCATTTTTTATTGTGCCAGTAAGTAAGACATTTGGTCTCAAGGTTTGCATTGTATTCCTTCCTCCTATTCAAATACTTCTTATTTGTTTAACATACATCTCTTGGTAGATGTCAGGCACTATCCTAAGTGCTTTAGAAATATTAACTCACTTTTTTGTCGTGGGTCTGGAGGTGGAAAAGAGAACTGCAAATGGGCACCAAGGATCTTTTTGAGATGATGGGAATAATTGGGTTGAAATGGTTGCAAAACTCTGGAAATTTACCAAAAACAATTGAATCATGTACTTAAAATAGGTAAATTTTGTGGTATGTAAATTATACCTTAATACGCTTAAAAGTACAAATGTGAACTCACCTTTAATCCTCACACTAGCTTCGTGATATAGATACTGTTATTTTTCCCATTTTAAAATGAGGAAACTGAGGCTCACAGGGAAGTTAATGTCACATAGGTGGTTAGTTAGCAGAATCAGGATTCTGATCTAGGCCAGTTATCACAAGAGTCCATGCTTCTAACCACTACCCCATGCTTATTAGAAGTAGACTAACAGAAATATCAAGCACCATTCAGGGATTCTGGCTATCAAGGTTACTATTAAATCTGTTACAGGTTTGCATATTGTTTTGGTTCATTGTTTTTATTTTTGGCCAAGTGGTAACCTGGTAATTAGTTTCTTGAGGGATAGGAGAGCAGGGCTGGAGGTGTTAACCAATGCATTTTTTTTAAAGGTTCACAAACCAATAGATATTTCTCTACAATTTGTTGTTTCTCTTATATCTCTATTTGCAAGGAACAT